CTGGCAGGGGACAGGGAAGCTAAATTTGTGGGCAGGGGACAGGGAAGCTAAATTTGCGGGCAGGGGACAGGGAAGCTAAATTTGCGGGCAGGGGACAGGGAAGCTAAATTTGTGGGCAGGGGACAGGGAAGCTAAATTTGCGGGCAGGGAAGCTAAATTTGCGGGCAGGGGACAGGGAAGCTAAATTTGTGGGCAGGAGACAGGGAAGCTAAATTTGCGGGCAGGGAAGCTAAATTTGCAGGCAGGGGACAGGGAAGCTAAATTTGCGAGCAGGGGACAGGGAAGCTAAATTTGTGGGCAGGAGACAGGGAAGCTAAATTTGCGGGCAGAGGACAGGGAAGCTAAATTTGCGAGCAGGGAACAGGGAAGCTAAATTTGCAGGTAGGGGACAGGGAAGCTAAATTTGTGGGCAGGGGACAGGGAAGCTAAATTTGCGGGCAGGGAAGCTAAATTTGCAGGCAGGGGACAGGGAAGCTAAATTTGTGGGCAGGAGACAGGGAAGCTAAATTTGCAGGCAGGGAAGCTAAATTTGCGGGCAGGGGACAGGGAAGCTAAATTTGCGAGCAGGGGACAGGAAGCTAAATTTGTGGGCAGGAGACAGGGAAGCTAAATTTGCGGGCAGAGGACAGGGAAGCTAAATTTGCGAGCAGGGGACAGGGAAGCTAAATTTTCGGGCAGGGGACAGGGAAGCTAAATTTTCGAGCAGGGGACAGGGAAGCTAAATTTGCGGGCAGGGAAGCTAAATTTGCGAGCAGGGGACAGGGAAGCTAAATTTGTGGGCAGGAGACAGGGAAGCTAAATTTGCGGGTAGGGGACAGGGAAGCTAAATTTGTGGGCAGGGGACAGGGAAGCTAAATTTGCGGGCAGGGAAGCTAAATTTGCGGGCAGGGGACAGGGAAGCTAAATTTGTGGGCAGGAGACAGGGAAGCTAAATTTGCGGGCAGGGGGCAGGGAAGCTAAATTTGTGGGCAGGGGACAGGGAAGCTAAATTTGCGGGCAGGGAAGCTAAATTTGCAGGGGAGGGGACAGGCAGGGGCAGGAAGCTAAATTTTGTGGGCAGGAGACAGGGAAGCTAAATTTGCGGGCAGGGAAGCTAAATTTGCGGGCAGGGGACAGGGAAGCTAAATTTGTGGGCAGGGGATAGGCAAGCTATTACAGGGTTTAACGCAGATAGCTCCATTCTTGGATCTTCATTTGTGAATCCAAGCCAAGATATTTTTATACACTTTTTATACGCGTTTGTGGTGGTAACGATGCGCTACCTGCTAAGAGAAGAACCAAAAATACTGTGCGCCTCCTAGAGAGAGAAAACAAGAGAAAGGTAGAGAGAATGAAAGAGAGAGAGAGAGTAGAAGAGAGTGAGTGGAAGAGAGAAAGAGGATGAGTCTGAAAGAGAGACTGTGAAAGAGTGAAAGTGAGTGGAAGAGAGAGTGAGTGTGAAAGAGAGAAAGAGGGAGTAGAGGAGAGAGTCAGAGAGGGGGAAAAGAGAGAATGAAATAGGGTGAGTGTGGAAGAGAGAGAGTGTGAGAGAGAGAGAGAGTAGGAGAGGAAGAAAGAGAGTGGGAGAGAATGAGTTTGAAAGAGACTGTTACAGAAAGAAAGAGAATGGAAGATAGAGTTTGAAAGAGAGAAAGAGAGTGTGAGAGAAAGAGAAATTAGAAGAGAGAGAGTGAAATAGAGAGAGAGGGAAGAGAGAGTGAGAGAGATGGAAAGAGAGTGAGTGTGAAAGAGAGTGAAAGGGAGAGGAAGAGAATGAAAGAGAGAGTGTGCGAAAGAGAGATTGGAAGACAGAGAGTGGAAGAGATAGAGAATGCGGAAGAGAGAGAGTGGAAAAGAGAGAATGGAAGAGAGAGAGAGCGAGTGAAAGCGAGAGAAAGTGGAAAAGTAATAGAGAGAGCATGAGAGAGAATGGAAGAGAAAGAGAAAGTGAAAGTGAGGGAGAGATTGAGTGGAAGAGAGAGAATGGAAGAGAGTGAGAGAGAGAGAGAGAGAACGTGTGTGTGTGTTTCTCAGATTTATCCCATGATTTAAAACACCAAATAATAATAATAAAAAACATTGATGTGAAACAAATTGTTTTCTGTTAGAGATGTATGAAACATTCTTCAAGTTAATGTCTTACCTTTAATATGATAGCCTTTTACTTATATATGGATGTGCGATTGGTGAATAGAGATTCATTGGTGTGAATAGAGATTCGGAATGAGATATCAAAGAACCTAGTTCGAATACCAGTCGAGTTCATTAAGTTCGCTTACGAGCAAATACCCTTTGTATGACTGTATCTCTTCCCGCTAGCGTGATAGACTAGGCTCTCTAGCAACCAGCCTCAGAGAATGACAACACTGAATTCAATGCCATAACAATTGTCCATGATCCTTGACCCTCAATAATGAGAATAGGAGTAAGCAATAAAAAATAATAATAAAAGTAAAAAAAAAAAAAAAATGTTATATACAGTTTTCTCAAATGACTTGGATAAAATTATAGGAAAAAAAATCTTGCGAAAATGACATGAAATCTAAAGCATTGCTCACAGAAGATAAGAAAAAAATATCGGCGTCGTTTCACCATTGTCCCCAACAAAAAAAGGGTGTGTCGAAAGGACGGTTATTCCCTTGAGTCCGCTATTGCTGCATACACTTTTGACACCCTCGACAATGATTATGAAAAATATGTGAACCAAGTACAATGCGATATTTATTATTATTTATCTTTTATAAAGATTTACCTTCTATAAAGAAAGAGATTTGAAAAGAAATCTTTTTATTCAAAAATTTATTTAAAAAAAATTACGAAACTATAAAAATATGTAAACCAACTACAATGCAATATTTCTCATTTACCATTTTGAAAATAACTATGAAATTAGTGAATTTGTGTGGCAAGTGCAAATGAAAGAAATGCCTGGGAAGTGTGTCTTTTCAAAATTCATAATTAATTACAAATTTTCTTGTTCACAGACATTTTTATAAATTTATGAATAAAAAAAATTCCTTTTCATATTTATTTCTTTATAAAATGGTAAATAATAAATGCTTCATTATAGATGATTCACATATTTTTATAATTTTGTAAATATAAAAGTATTCTTGTAAATAAGCAATTTCACATGTTTGGGTTTTCATTAAAATTCTAATCATCACTTTTTAAAACAATCATTGCCAAAATATTATGTTGACACACCAGTTCTCATACAATCACTGAAGTTAAGCAATGTCTATCCTGGTCAGTAGCGAGATGGGTGAGTGCTTGGGATGACCAAATGCTTCATTATAGTTGGTTTAGATATTTTCATAATCTTGTTAAAAGTATTCTTGTAAATAAACAATTTAATACATAAATAGTCCTTATTATATTTGTTGCTAATTCTGAAGAATAAACACAAATTATGAATTCACTTTCTTTTCTTATTTTTTCTTTAACTATTTCACTCCCAAGCAAAGCGAAAATGCCATTAGTAATGCAGGGGGTTACAGGGAGTGAAAGCAAGAGAAAAGACTGAGTATAGGGAGGATCGAGGAAAAGACAAAAGATGAACGGGATTCAAAATGACAGATGATGGTGACTAATGTTGCATTCAATTTTATGAAGATTTTAGTTATCAGGGAAGCAAGGAAACAGAAGGGAGTTCCACAGGTGAGAAGTGTGAGAAAAGAAACTGTTGGTGTAGATGTGGCGGCTGCATTTAACTATTTCAACGGTAGACGGGTGGAACTTAGATGCCAATCTAGTAGCACGCTTAAATTCATATAAATGGGGGACCAGATAAAAAAGCTTGTCATAGGAGTTGCCGCGAAAATATTTGTAGAAAAGACAGAGGGAAGCCACGTTGCGTCTGTGAGAAAGTGACTGAATCGTCGAGATGCCGGGTCAGGATCGATTACATTGCAGATCCTTCTTTGGATTTTATCAAGAACCTTCAAGATGAATAGTAGGAACACCAGATCAGATATAGCAGCAGTATTCAATGCACAGGCGAATGGCCGATTTATAAATGTGCAAGATGGATTCTGATGAGAAATTTTTTTCCGAAACAACACAGTGACACAACATTCCTTACAATAGATGCAGCTATTGATTCGATATAGTCGTTCCACTTCAAGTCAGTTGAAAACGTGAGGCCAAGAAGGTGCAGTGTGTTCCTCTCCTGGAATCTAGCATCAGCCATGTTGATGGCAGGCAGAAAAGTTTCTCTATGCTGATTAAATGAAAGCAGTTTTGTTTTGAGGCGTTAAAATATTGTGACCCAACTTTCCTTTCTATAGATGCTGCTATTGATTCGATTTCGTCGCTCCACTTCAAGTCAGTTGAAAACGTGAGGCCAAGATGACACAATGCGTTACTCTTCAGGAGTCTAGGGTTAGCACATGTTTGGGTTTTATTAAAATTCTAATCATCGCTTTTTAAAAATAAATATCGTCGAGAAAGTGAAGGGAGTTTAAAGTAATAGCGGCGTCAAAGGAATAACAGTCCTTTCGATATATCGTTTTTTTTTTGTTTTTTTTTTTTTGTTTGTTTTTTGGGTTTTTTATCTGCCCAAAGGTTAAACATTGCCAAAAATCAATAAATGTCTGTTTCGATCATTGGACTGATTTCAACAAAACTATTTGCGATAAGCACTCCACAATGTTTTGTCAAAAATAAGTGGGGATTTTTTTCTAGTATTTCCTCAATGCGTAAACAAAGAAAAGAAAAAAAAAACTTACTAAATAATTATGGGATACAGTACTCACTCGATTATGTGTACCTCGATTTTCCTGAATTCGATTATCCGGACGTGAAATGAACAGTGGCTTATGCCCATACCACGTTGAAACCTCGGTTCTCGTCTGATTACTGAAGTTAAGCAACGTCAAGTTTCGTCAACACCTAGATAGGTGACCGCTTGGGAATAACAGGTGGTGCAAGTTTAGACGAGAAACCGGAGAGCCGAAGTCGAATTCTAGTCGGGTTTCTTACATTCACTTGCGGGCAAATACCCCTGGGCGATCATGAAACAAAAAAAGACATGATCAGTCATGCGTCTCACATCCGCCCCCTACCAATTGAGCCTGCGCGGTAAGCACATGAATCTGGGGAGGGCCTTAGCCTAGCAAATGAACCTACACAGACCGAGAAAATATTTTTATAATCTTGTAAATATAAAAGTATTCTTGTAAATAAGCAATTTCACATGTTTTGGTTTCGTTAAAATTCTAATCATCGCTTTTTAAAACAAACATTGCCGAAATTCACGTTGAAACACCAGTTTTTATACAATCACTGAAGTTAAGCAATGTCTATCCTGGTCAGTAACTAGATGGGTGACTGCTTGGGAATACCAAATTCTTCATAATAGTTGGTTCACATATTCTTGTAAATATAAAAGTATTCTTGTAAATAAGAATAAACAAATAAAGATAAAGTTTGAAATCATCTGAACATTTTTCCGTTATTTGAATTGCCATTCTAATATTTATTCTCAAACAAGCGTTTTGAGAATTTAGAAAACCAAAATTAACTATTTACAGCAAACTATTGTACTCATCTTTTTTCTTGTTTTTTTTTTTTTTTTTTTTGTTAACACAACGTTTCGGCCGTTGTGCCGTCCGGCCTGTATTAGGTGTATGTCGATCCGAGTAACCTATAGGGAATTCCGAACTGAACCTTTTATTTAACCAGTGGGAGTGGACTGTTCTCATTCCACAGACCATTTTTAGGGATACCTCGTCTAGTTCTTATTTTTAGTACTACTCAGTTATTGATTGCCCTGTTCAGAAACCAATGCTTTAATGCATTAGGCTGTTGTCCCTTTCATTATCTATCTATCTATCTATCTATCTATCTATCTATCTATCTATCTATCTATCTATCTCAGTCTGTTCATTATCTATCTATCTATCTATCTATCTATCTATCTATCACAGTCTTTTTATCTATCTATCTATCTATCTATCTATCTATCTATCTATCTATCTATCTATCTATCTCAGTCTGTTCATTATCTATCTATCTATCTATCTATATATCTATCTATCACAGTCTTTTCATCTATCTATCTATCTATCTCAGTCTGTTCATTATCTATCTATCTACCACAGTCTTTTCATCTATCTATCTATCTATCTATCTATCTCAGTCTGTTCATTATCTATCTATCTATCTATCTATCTATCTATCTATCTATCTATCACAGTCTTTTCATCTATCTATCTATCTATCTATCTATCTATCTATCTATCTATCTATTACAGTCTTTTCATCTATCCATCTATCTATCACAGGCTTTTCATCTATCTATCTATCTATTACAGTCTTTACATCTATCTATCTATCTTTTTTAAAGCTTTTCACCCCAAGCAAGACGGGAGTGCCACTAGCATGCAAGGGGTTACAGAAAGTGTGGGCAAGAGTAAAGAGGCGTGAGAGAGGAACGGATGAAGAGAAGGACGGGGAATAAATCAAGGCATCTGGAGATGTCGATTGACATCGCATTTGAATAGTTGGAGATTAGAGCTATCAGGGAAGCAAGTAAGAGGAAGGGAGTTCCACAGACAAGAAGTGTGAGACATGAAGCTATTGGAGTAGAAGAGACGGCTACATTTAACTGTTTTGACAGTGAAAGGATGGAACTGAGACGCCGACCTAGCGGCACGTTTAAATTCATGCAGTTTGGTCGCTCGTCGGAGCAGTTACCGTGAAAATATTTGTAGAAAAGACAGAGGAAGGCGACAGCACGTCCGTGAGAGAGCGACTGTAAGCGAGATGCCAGATCAGGGCCAACCATATTGCATATCCATCGCTGGATTTTGTCGAGGACCTTAAGACGAATATTAGATCTATCTATCTATCTATCTATCTATCTATCTATCTATCTATCTATCACAGTTTTTTCGTCTATCTATCACAGGCTTTTCATATATCTACTTATTTGTAACAAAAGGGAAAATCTTCGGTGAGTGCAGCCAAGCAAAACAAGCAACAGCAGTACTCATCAGCAGGCAGCGTAGGTTTAAGGCTCCAAGTTCTCAACAGAGAATTGTCACACGGGAAAATAGCCTAGTGTATTAAAGCGTTGGTTTGTGAATTTGACATAATGTGCACCTTAAAATGCTTGTCATTTGTAATGAAATGTTCTACAAGCTGCGTTGATGTCACATTGTTGGTTCTGATATCATACTTGTGGCAATTGAATCTTTTATTTAATTTTTCCGTTGTGCAACCCACATAAATCAAGTCATGTTCGGTACAATGGCCGGCAGATATTAAGGAAATTGTAATGATTCTTTTTTAACACAACGAACTGAGTTTTTTCTCTTTAATGAGTGTTTTCAGGAGTACAACGATCCGAAACTCCAATGTTGTTTTGAGTGTGGACGCTTATATTTGTTAAAATTTATCTGATGCTTTCATTTCTTTTGAGAGAAACGATAGGCGTGTTGGGAAAATTTTTTTCGGATATTTTTTGCGCAATGTGTTCATAGCTGTTGTGTCGTATTTTCGAAATTCCAGAAAAAAATTCAGTGGCAATTTATAACTAATGGAATTCTGTCAGAATTTTGATTGTGTTTTTCGGTGTTTTGACCTGGTATGAAATAATGGTAATCTTCCTTTTTTGCGATTTCATTGGTAATTTATTTCAGTTGCGACCCTCGATAGCCGCTCTTTTCATAATGCCGAATAAAATGCTTCCAATAATCTTTTATCAACATGCAAATTCGCCTTATGTACAAAAAGTAGCACTTCGGGGTTGATGTTATCGTGTGACAGGGATGGTCAAAACGGCGGTGTAGGTTAATGTGTGATGAGGTAGGCTTACAAACTAATACGGTCTTTAAACGGCTATTTGGGAACTTTACTCTGGTTTAACACTGTCAAACACTGTTTCTTTTCTTTTCTTAAATCGCGCTCTTTTCTTAACTATTCTTATTATTGTGTGCGTGAGCATAACACCAACAAAGATGCCCAATGACGTCACTCGACAGAGGACATATGCTCAACTGGTTATGGTCAAGCAACGGATAAGTAAATATGTGGTAACATCCCCAATCCATTAAGATCAGAAACCATGATTGTCATGCCTGCTATACTATCAGATCATAAAATTATTATTTTTATTTTAGCTTATGGGATGTTCCTAGTAGGGCGATCTTCTGGGCAACTTGTATGTTGATGATACCAGGGACACTGATAATAAAATTGTTCATTTCTTTTCTCACGAGGCCCAGTGCTCCGATTACTATTGGTACAATCTCAGTTTTGATCCTCCACACCCTGTTAATCTCGATCTACAGGTCTTTGTATTTGGACAATTTCTCGGTAATTTTCAGAGAGGTATTTCTCTCAGATGGCACTGCTATATCAATAAGCATACACTTTCTTTTTTTTTTTCTTTTATGATAATATCAGGTCCGTTGGCTTTTATTTCCCTGTCAGTTTGAATTTTCATGTCCCAATGGATAGTTACATCGTTATTTTGGGTAACTGTCTGGTTGGTGGTCATACCATCTCTCAATGATTTTGATTTTGTGCTTTTTGCATATGTTCCAATGTCGCTACATTGTTATGTCTGTGGGTATATTCATTTTTTGCAACCTTATGTTTGTGGGTATATTCATTTTTTGCAAGTTCCGGACATCCTGAGATAATATGGTCGACAGTTTCATCATATTTTCCGCAGATCCTGTATATCGGGTTGGTTCCATCCTTGATTAAGTGACAGTGTTAGGATCTAGTTGCGAGGCTTTGGTCCTGAGCTGTAATAATTAGGCCTTCTATCTCAGCTTTCAACTCGGTGCTCCTCAGCCACTCTGATCTGTTTTCTGTTGGTCCACATCTGCTTCTATTTAGATATCTGCCATGCAACGCCTTGTCCTCACAGTTTTTTTGTAACTTATTATTATTATTATTATCATTATCATTATTATTATTATTATTATTATTATTAGTACAACCTTTAAAGAAACGTCACTATTAAAGAAAAGAAAAGGCAAGACAGTATTTAACAATGTTCTACAATATTTAGGCAGTATGTCAGTTTTCTTCAAGATATATTTAAAAATGCAATAAATAATTATAATTCAGTATCTGTCTACATTCCTGAGATGAGGTATTATGTACATTATTTACATTGTTCAGGCTATCATCCGCATCTTTGTTGCCATATTTATCACAACGTTTCAGCCGTTGATTATCACAACGTTTCAGCCGTTGTATGCTCCGGCTGGTTGGAATGTAAAACTGAACTTAGCCATGGTAGTTTCTCCATATTTAAGTTCTAGAGAATGTAAACAAATGTAAAACACTTGCCTGTGTTGTGAGTCAGTATTTGACTGGTTCGTTTTCTACGGCTTGTAAACCCTTTGCAGGTTATTTAAAGCCAGAAAATATGTTTATTGTAAGATTTGGCGGGGGGCGGATATAATGATTTAGTGATACAAGTCTTACTAATTAATTAGCTGGGGGTAAATGTGTAGAAGATGCAGATTTATATCTAATCAGAATCAGATAAACAAACAAGAAAATATAATGTGGAGGATCAATTTCTTATTACAATAAGTACATAAACTGATCCCTCACTTTGTGATCACCGTACTTTCTAGACATTTATATTCCAGAGTATGCAAATAGATTTAAAAGACACTCCTGTGTAACTAATCAGTATTTCATTGATTTATTCGTTTTCTACGGCTTATCAATTTATTGCAAGTTATTTAAAGCCAGAAAATATTTTTGCATTGTAATTTTTTAGATAAAAATAGTTTAGTGATCCAAGTCTTACTAATTAAGTCATAACTGGGGAACAAGTGGTGGATTCATACCGTAAGGGAATATAACAAACCCAACCGAAATTAGAACTCGGCTCTCCGATTAACAATTCCGAGCCATTATCCATTACAACACCAGCACAGCGGCTGGTAGTCTCACGTGGTCACCCATCTTGGTAGTGACCAGGCTTGATGTTGATTAACTTCAGTGATCGTACGGGAACCGATGTTTCAACGTGATGTGACCGTAAGCCTATCATTATTATTATTATTAGTAGTAGTAGTAGTAGTAATTGTAGCAGTAGTAGTTGTTTGTATTTCCTCTAAAGTTTGAAAAGCGAATACCGCACTTGATACTGATTAATATAATGACGAACCCACTTATCATTTATTTACTATAACTTATAATTAATTTAGTATAATTTATAATGAATTTGGTATAACTTATAATAAATTTACTATAACTTATAATTAATTTAGTATAACTTATAATGAATTTGGTATAACTTATAATGAATTTGGTATAACTTATAAATAAATTTACTATAACTTATAATTAATTTAGTATAATTTATAATGAATTTGCTATAACTTATAATAAGTTTACTATAACTTATAATTTACTATAACTTATAATTAATTTAGTATAATTTATAATGAATTTGCTATAACTTATAATAAATTTACTATAACTTATAATTAATTTAGTATAACTTATAATGAATTTGGTATAACTTAAAAATAAATTTACTATAATTTATAATTAATTTAGTATAATTTATAATGAATTTGCTATAACTTATAATAAATTTACTATAACTTATAATTTACTATAACTTATAATTAATTTAGTATAATTTATAATGAATTCGGTATAACTTTTAATAAATTTACTATAACTTATAATGAATTTAGTATAACTTATAATGAATTTAGTATAATTTATAATGAATTTACCATAACTGACAGAGAAGACAGTTTATTTTTCATTGCTCAAACCCTTGGAAGCTATCCCCCATATATTCCTCACCAAATCAAATATTTCTTGGAAAGTAAATGAATGGAAAATTGATTGAAGTAAATGGCAGACCTGCCTCTACAAGTAGATGCAGTAAAGAGATCGACATGATAAAACCGTAAGCAGGGTAGAATACTCCTTTTTGGGTATGGGTAAATATTTGAGATTCGGTTTTTCAACTAGCGAAGTTTTTTTTTTTTTTTTTTTTTTTTTTACGATTCATTCAAACAGCAAAACCCAACAATACCAAATATAATATTTCATTCAAATAAACATAAATACGTTTGAATAAAAACTTGACTTTTTTGTTCTAGCGAAATGAATCTTATGATTCCTTAAAGAAATTGATGGCACGATTTAAGACAACATGAGATACGAAAATAGTTTTCTTTTTTCCTTTTCATTGAACTCTTAAAAAAAATTAAAATCAGTCCAGGCATCTGAAAAATGGACCCCATGCTACATATATTCATATGATTACATTGAGCTGCTGAAGTTAGTTAGGAAGATTATGTACCGCCAATCTTAAAATTAGGTATATAGTCTCCAGATATAACCATACAAGTTTATAAACTAAATCTCTGCTGTAAGCGTCGTGACAGATTTTCCAACAATATAGAAGATAAAAATGTTATTTGGCCAACAGAAAGTAAATAACAACAACAAAAAACAACAGCAAAAACATTCTTAATATGCCGTTCCATCCAGGGAAACTCAGTGAGAAAATATCCATTTGCAATTTTTCTTCGTTTTTCTTGTTTGTGAAAGACGCGTGGGTATTTTGGACAAATCAGTTGGTGAAAGCTTTTAGATCAAAGGTCAGGCCAATCTGAAAAAAAAAATGGTAAATAGATAAAAGTCATAAATTATCTTATTAATACAGAGAAACTTCAGTTCTCGAACGCCTTACATGTCGAACAAATCAGTTTTCGAACAGAAAATTCAAGATGAAAATGCCTCGGTTATCGAACAAAATTTCGGTTCTCGAACAGCATTACCGAACCGAATTAAACCGAACGGAATAATTTCTGAGTCGACCGCCATGTTTTATACATTCGTGTGTTGTGACGTGCTTTTCTTTTCCAATTTTATTGTACTGTGACTTTTTTCTCTACATTGATGCCTATTGGAAAAATAGTTTCGGGTTACGAACGGCCTTCATGAACGAATTAAATTCGTGAACCGGGGTTCCACTGTACAATTTTAGCAAATGAAAAATCAAACAGAAACTGAAAAATAGTAATTATATGAAAACCTTTAGAAATGTACACACCTTTATGTCACACTACGTTCATAGAGGAGTTAATGTACCATAAAACCTCACTCAAAATCAGGACCTTGGAAACGTGATTAAAGTCTATGAGTATCAAGTTAAAAATACGTGTTTGGCAATATATGACCATTATAGAGGAGTTAATGTGCCATAAAAAACACATCCAGGATAGGAATTTAGGGTATATGCTAAGACTATGAGAATCTGCTTTAAATTACTTGTTTGCCGCTACATGACCATTATAGACGGGTCAATGTGACATAAAACCACACTCAGGATCGGAATCATTGAATATGTACTAAGATTATTAGAATCTGTCTAAAACCCTTGTTTGGCACTACATGACCATTATATAGGAGTCAATGGGCTGTAAAACGACACTCAGGATAATAACCTTTGGGGATGAGATTAAAGACTATGAGAATCTACTTAAAAATTATTGTTTGGAATTATGTGAACATTATATAGGAATCAATGTGACATATTTAGAATCTGAGAACCTTAGAGATATGACCAAAGACTATGAGAATCTACTTAAGAGTCCTTGTTTGGCCTTACATGACCATTATATGGGACTCAATTTGCCATATTCAGAATCAGAATATTGGAGATATGACTAAAGAATATGAGAATGTACTTAAGTCAAACAGAAACTCAAAGACAGTAACTATATGAAAATCTTTAGATGTACATGCTTTTATTTCACACTACATTCATAGAGTAGTCAATGTGCCATAAAACCTCACCCAGAATCAGGACCTTGGAAACGTAATTAATGACTATGAGAATCTGCTTAAAAATACTTGTTTGGTACTATCTGACCATTATAGAGAAATCAACGTGCCATAAAAGCATATTCAAAATCAAAACCTTGAAGGTGTGATTGAAGGCTATGTGAGTCGACTTAGTAATACGTGTTTGGAAATACGTGGCCATTATAGAGTAGTCAATATGCCGTGAAAATACATTCGGGATTGGAATTTGGAAGACAATGAGAATGCTTAAAAATACGTGTGTGGCACTACATGACCATTATAGAGGGGTCAATGTGCCATGAAAACACATTCAGGTTCGGAATTTCGAAGATATGTTTAAAGACCATGAGAATCTAATGACAAGTCCTTGTTTAGCATTACATGACCATTATATAGATGTCAGTGTGCCATAAAATCACATTCAAAATTAGAACCTTGGAGATATGATCAAAGACTGAAAATTTCCTTAAAAGTCCTTGTTTGGCATTACATGGCCATTATATAAGAGTCAATGTGCCATAAAGCCACATTCAGAATCAGAACCTTGGTGATATGATTAAAGGCTATGAGAATATACTCAAAATCTTTGTTTGGCAATGCATGACTATTGTAGAGAAGTTAATGTACCATGACTATTATATAGGATTTAACGACTTTTAAATAATTTCATGTTTCGGCCTTAATCGGCCTCGTTGTGATTTCAATTTAATGCTTGTCTTTTTTTCTTTTCTTTTTTCTTTTTTTTTTTTTTTTTTTGATTAATTAATTTGAATTTTTTAATTTCCTTTTTTTCGGTGATTTCATTTTTATATCTTTTCTTTCTTCAACTAAAACTTTTGGAAAATTTTGCTGCTTTCGTCTACATAATTTCAAAAGTATAACTTTTTCATTTTTCGATTAAAATGTTTAAATATTTTGTCTTTTTCTCCGTCAAATTTAATTTAAGATCTAAACTTCATGCTTATCTGGCATAAAATGTGCTAAGTTTATAGATTTGGGAATTGATAACAATGTAAATATATTCGTATGTTTTTTTTTAAGCGTTTCACCCCAAGCAAGGCGGGAAGCCACTAGGACGCAAGGAGTTACAGAAAATTTAGAGCAAGATCAGATAGGAGTGACAGAAGAAAGGATGAGGAGAAAGATAGTGGATAGATCAAGGCAACTAGAGATGTCGATTGACATTACACTTGAATAGCTGGAGATTATAGCTCTCAGGGAAAATGGAATAGGAAAGAGAGTTCCACATGCGAGAGGTGCGAGACATGAAGCTATTAGAGTAGAAGAGACGGCTATATTTAGGAGTTTCGACAGTGAAAGGGTGAGAGCGGGATGCCAGCCTCGTAGGGCGCTTGAACTCATGAAGTCTGGGAACCAGCGAATGCAGCTCCTCGGAACAATTGCCATGAAAGTATTTGTAGAACAGACAGAGAGAGACGACGGCGCGTCTGTGAGAAAGTGACTGTAGACGAGATGCCAGATCAGGGCCAATTATATTGCATATCCGCCTCTGGAGCCTATCAAGAACCCCGAGGCAAACAGAAGGGGCACCAGACCATATATGGCAGCAATACTTCATGCAAGGGCGAATTATTGATTTGTAGATCTGGAAGATCGATTCCGGGGAGAAAAATTTCCTGGCGCGGCACAAGAAGCCAACTTTCCTTGCGGTGGACGAAGCAATTGACTCAATGTATTTGTTCCATCTCAGGTCAGCAGTCAACGTGAGACCGAGCAGACGCAGAGAGTTGCTCTCGAGAAGTTGAGCGTCAGGCATTCTAATGGAGGGCAGGGAAGGATCTCTGTGGTGATTTGGTAGGAATATTTTCTCCGATTTGTTTTCTTAGTTTTAGACGAAACCCACATTGATAGAAATGAAATGATAAAGATTGTGTTGAGCCTAGTGGATATGATCGGTCTGCCTTGAAAATCAACGTCAAGTCGAACCATGCGAGGTAAAATGATTGTGTAGACTTTATGAGTTTAAGTACAGTACTAGGTTGACAGCAAGGCCTCGTCAATTTAAAATTGAATTGGCTAGATGCAGCCGTAAGTTCTATGCTAACAGTTTCTTTTCTCGCACTTCTCGCTTGTGGAACTCTCTTTCAGCTTCTTGCTTCCCAGTCAACTTTGACCTTCAAATATTTAATGCAAGGTCAATAGTTTGCTTCTGAATTCTTATTATTTTATTGTTCTCTCTCCTTT